ACTGCACTAGAGGATTCATAAGAACGATGTCAAGTTGTAACGCGTCGCCGCCGCAGTGTTCGCTCTCTCTCTCGTCTCTCTCGTCTCGAGATAAAGGCGGACTGAAAATCTCGCAGAGCCGCAGACGAAAGGGGAAGGCCGCAGCAGCCACCCGCCGAGCCAGCGCCAAATTTCCCTTAAAGCTCTGCGGTCCTCTATATATTAAGGTGTTATCGGAACATTGATGAGTGTTTAAAACGTGGGCGGTGACTGGGGCACCCGGAGAACACCCGGAACGGGTGGAAGTCCACATTACCTTACCGCCTTCTCCTGTGGCAAGCCTGGGTACACGGCACATCCTCGACGTCCACGGAGCAGGAAGAGAGGAGTCTCGCAACATAAAGTCCTTCCCACGCCGTCGCCACCCATCACCGGTCCAGTTGCTGCTGCGATCCATCTCACCGCTGCACGTGAGCTCAGGGTCAAATGTCGACTCTGAGCGCGGGTGATTGTCTGGCACGCGTTACGTCACCACTCGTCCGTGTGTCCTGCTCCCAAGCCCCTTTTCCTGAATGTTGAATAAGCGATTCATTCATTCCTCGATTTCTTGTTCAAGCATTGTACTTGCACTGCCTTAAGCATATGACCCATTTGTTCGTTTCGTCAGCTTAATTCATTATTCCATGTATTTATTGCAAGCACGTATTGATGAATTCGTTCTTGCATCAGTTCATGGTTCCATTCATTGCCTAAATTCACGTTTAATTAATTTCCTCGTACTTCCAGTAATTCGTTTACCCATCGTGTTGTCCATTATTTACTCACTCACTGTTGCACTCGTTAATTTCATTTAATAACTCGTTTCATTCACTTTAAGCCATTCGATTAACAATTTTTTTAACTAATTAATTACGTTTCTCATTCGTGGTTTAATGCATTTATTCAAAACATTATTCATTGATTGTTCGTTTCATTCAATGGAAGGTTCATTCATTTTACGTGTTTTTTTCCGGCAGCGTCTTCAATAATTAATTTTTTAATTGATTCATTGCAAGTTTAATAACAGCAATGGCAAGGTCAAAAGGTCATCGCCGCCGATGCTGTTGAGACCATCACACATCGACGCCATTGCTCTTTCTTCTGCCAGATCCCGCTGCTGTTAAAAAGTCGGCACCATCCTTCACAGCCCACTCTTTAACCGTCTCATCATCAATCCAGCAGTGGATCGATCACGGCTGGTGATAGACGTGAACACCGACACCGTGGGGAGCGGGTAGGTTGGGAAGGACAACACGAGGAAGGGTTGTGTTGTGAATGTGCGCAAATGTGCCGGCGTGGCTGAACGAATGGAACGAGAATGTAAGGATCCGCGAGAAGTTTTGAGTCGATGTCGGTTCGTCATCATCGTCGCAGTACCTGTGCATTGTTATATATGAGAAGTAACATAATGCGATGATCCATTATACTTTATTTTTTCTTTAAATACACACAAACTACAACATCCAGAAAACATTTCCGCATTTTTTGGCAAAGCCAATACTGTCAAAGCAAGATAGCCACCAATGGCCGTGTAAAATGTTTACTATCCCGTATATAAATGTTTTGTATAAAATGAAACCCGTAATACAAAAAAAACTCGAGTAAGACACATCAAGTGTTCGTAAAATTTCGCTTCACAATTGGACAAGTACTGAGACCACCAATGACCAATAATGCGATCAAATTCATGTTGACAGATGTGTTCGAGTGAAAGGATATCGGGTTAGAATCGAGTAAGTTCATGAGACAAGCAGATTTACAGCTCCATAATAGCACCGACGGTGGAGCGGTGGCACAGTGGTTGGCGCACTGCACTATTAACTCGGCAGCTTGATTTCAATTCCCAGTCACGGTTAACATCAGCGGCGAGTGACATCTGAGCCAGTCGTGGGTCACTCTCTCCCATCCACCAACGTGTACTGTTGAAGTGCGGGACGGTGAGACAGCCCTCATGACAGAAAGTTTCCTGGGGAGGCCTTCATCCAGCAGTGGATTGCCAAAGGATTGTGAAATATTATTAGCACCAAGCGCAAGCAATGTTTGCTCCAAAATCTACACGCAACCATATTCCCTGCAAATAAATTAACCGGAGAGGAAAACTCAAGTAATGCAACGGTTCTATTAGCGACACCTGTGATTAGCAGTCATTGGCCATCAGCGGGCTACAGGTCACAACAACGGTGACAAACAGACAGATTGATACGATTCATCGTTTAAAAAACGGTTCTTAATGCTCACGATAAAAGGTGATAGGAAAAAGTTCAGCCCTGCGATTGCTTCCTTCTTCCACACCTGGCAGGCCGGCCTCAACCAGAGTGAGCTCTAGAGAGCACTTCTAGAGGGTGTTTTTGCCTACTCTTCCACATTGGCCAGAGGTCTTGGAAGCGATGGAAGTACCCGCAATTTAGTCCATCGCACGCGAATTGCGACAAAGTGTGGCGCACCCACTCCTATGATACACCCATCTACTCAGATGTGTAAGAGTATATAAAGTACAATTCATAGAAACTGTATGCAACCGGTGCATACTACACACACACAGGATAACGAAGCAAATGAGACATGCAAATGACGGAAGGAGACACAAAAAAACGAGACGCGCAAAATAATTCATTCCTCGACCAAACGGCGACCTCCAAATAGCAACAAATCGCAAGGAATTGTGGGAAGCGGAGGAGGGTTGGTGAATCAGTCTGTGCCCTTGGTGAGTTAGTGTTACAGTAAACGTGTTAAGGTGAGACAATGAAACTACAACACATAAACAATGAGACTACAACAGATAAACTATTAACTACAACAACAAACAATGTGCCATCAGGGCCATTGCCGTTTGACGGCACGATGCAAGACGGCACCATCGGAATGAAATTGGTGAAAAAGACCCTTTAAAAAAGTTTCATTTTTCTAACGGATGCACGCTTTATAATCTTTTCATGATATTTCTTAACTCACAACGGCACAGGCCAGCGTCCCCACAACAAACTTGAAAACAAACGCGCTCGTTCAATACGAGCGCGACGTGCAACACGACAGCGACGTGCAACACGACAGCTGCGCAATCGTGATGACGGGAAGACGGCGGATTGGTAAACGTAGCTTCCATCCCACGCTCATCCTGAAAACGGGAAACCCGCCCTGCGGGTCACGGCCAGCATGACGTGGGCTGGTGATGCTGATGACGTCATCAAACCCCTACCTCCACTGCCTCCGGTTCAGTGGCAGGCCCTCTGATTAGCACTGTTGGCTAGGTACGGTGCGTAAGAAGTTCATTGTAGAACAGAGGGCGAGTCGAGTAATGGGAACCAAGAATGTAATACTTAAATAGCGTCGCGATGACAACAAAGTCGCCACGGGTTGCCAGTTCGACTAATCAGACGGCACGTAAAACACAGTTGAAAAAATAAGCCTCACCACTGTTCCCATGTGTGCCGCTGGACAGGGAGTGATGGGCGGGGGTCTGGTGACGCTATCGGCATGATATCAGCCGCGTCACGCTTGGGCACGGCCGCCCAGTCGGGGGTTTTCCCCGGCATTTCTGAAAGCGCGCTTTGACCCCCACCACCACCCCCCCCCGCCCCCCCGTGACGAACAGACGCACGGACGGACGCACGGACGGCCGCGCTAGCGGTAGTCGGGGCGAAGGTGCCACATCCCCAGGCCCGTGGAGTCACGCTCGAAGGTGCAGAGGCTGCGCAGGAGCTCGCGGAAGACGGGCGAGTGCTCGGGCGGCACGCGCCGCTCAAACGTGTGCAGCAGCTCCTGGGTGCTCGCCCGACCGTCCTCGGCGCCGCCAAACGCCACGAACGTGCGCAGGTCCGACAGCAGCTCGGAGAACTCGCTCGGTGGCAGCGAGGAGGAGGAGGAGGAGGGCGCCTGCGGCAGATGAGCGGGGTAAGAGGAAGGGGGAGAGGGGTGGGGGGGTGGATCGGGTGACACGGGCGCATTGTTGACAATCGTAATTTGTGCAGTGCGCAACGGCTCAATACAACTTAATCCAGTACAGAGATAAAACTGGGGGAACCCGGACGACGTGGGGGTGCTGTGAGCGACATAAACGAGCGGCAAGCATTCGTCACCTGGCTCTGCTCATCCTCTCCGTCCTCCGTGGACTCGAGTGCCCGCGCCAGCAGCAGGTGGTTCCGGGTGCGCATGCGAGCCAGCACCGTCGTGGACACGGGGTTCAGGTTGGACTCCAGGTTGCCCAGGCTGCTGGGGACATCACTCGCGTTGCTCCAGCCAACGATGCCACCGCTACTACTGCTGGTGCTGCCACCGCTACTACTGCTGGTGCCGCCACCGCTACCGCTTGCAGCTCCTTCATCCTTTGTTCGTTCCGGCTTCTTGCCGAACCGTGGAGTCTGCGAGCTCGTGGGCACCGGGGAGTCCTTGGGTACAGCTTGCACATCCTGGTAGTTCACGTGCATGATAAAGGAATAACAAGTCATCCGAGCAAGCCCGCGCAAGATGGTTCTCCCGTTTAATACTTGGTTTAATGCGACTTCACGAGTCCTGAACTGCGATTTCGCCATCTCAAGATCCGGCCCCTAGGCGTAAGCTGCCCAGCGTGCTCATGAATATTAACGAGAGATAGCTACGGCTCTGGTAGGCCTTTACGATGATTGTAACCTCTAACCTTCCGATTTGGAAGTTGGGCACCGACGCTTTAACACACCATACAAATGGGCCACCAAAATAAACTTGACTCCCATGAGACTGCCATGTGGGTAGACGCGACTCTAGATGAAGAGGCAAGTGAGCGGCAATCGTTTGGCCCAGGAAATCAATCTTACAAGATGGGACTGTGTAAACTATGCGGTTATGTAGCCCAGCAAACAGCCTATGACACTTGGTAGTAATTCATGATAATCCCCTACCCAAGCACTATCACAGCTCACCCCTGCTTGGATTCCAGAGATCTGACGGGATTTTAGATTGTTAGCGGGTGGTAGTGCGGCAAAAAGCACTGTTGTACAGTATGACTATGCTCCAACGTCTACGCTTACCACCCTCACCGTGCTGCTCAGTGCGGGTTTGGTGAAGTGCGGTAAAATAACTCCCACGACATGCCCGGCGTAAAGAGGCGCCCTCATCCTGACAACAGGGGCCTCGCGCAAGTGTGGCGTTAGGGGCAACTTCACGCGAGAGCCACTCACCCTGCACTTCTGCGATTGTGGTTTAGTGGCCTGGGCTGGCACCAACGGCAGGGGCTTCTTCCTCTGCCCAAACCTTGAGATGCGATAACAAAACAAACAGCGAGAGACGATGTCAATAACCGGCCGAGCAACATCCGCACGGCACAACAATGCGCCGAGCACCGATGGGAAGCTGTTCAACAGTTGCCGACGTCGCGCAGTACTCCAATGACTTCCGCCGATGAAACATCGCGTGGGTCAGGGCAAGCTGGCGCGCGAAGCCATCGGGGGCGACGCGTCGTTGACTGACCGCGCTTGGGGCGGCGGCGGCGGCGGCGCCGCGCTTGCCGATCGGTAGTGCCGGCGCGACTGGCGGAGCGCATGCATCGCATCGCGCGCCACCCGCGTCGCCTCCGCCTCCACCAGCGCGAAGTCCGGCCGTGACGAGTTCATGATCGCGTCGTGCTGCATCGCGCTGTGGATTCCTGCGCGGGGGGGCGGGGGTGCGACCGGGCACGAGCGTCAAGACTCGACGCTCCCAGCTGGCCGGGTGGCTCGGCGGTCAGGCAGACCGCGCTCGCGTTGCTAAGATCCTGGATTCAAATCCGAGGTTTCAGCTGCCCAACCGCGTCTAAACCGGGTTCTTAAATTAAACGAATTACGAGGAGCACATCTTCGATACGCCCTGCGCAAACAGTGTTTCGTCGCACGTGCAGTACCCGCGCACACGCGTGGCAACCAAAACACGTGGAGAAAAGGCAACGGTGCGTGTTCTAACTTCGTAGAGAGAAGGACATGGGCGTGTGGCGGCCATACCGGACTTCTTGAAGAGCTTCTCCAGAACGTAGTCGTCGGTCTTCCTGCGGTCCTCTCGCTCCTCCTTGTCTCCGCCTGCTGCAGAGGCCCCCTTGAACTCCGCATGCCTCACCAGGTGAGGAATTCTCTCCCCCTCAAAGCGAACGCCCTTCCGCTTCTTCTTCGACCTCCCGTCACCCTCGTCCCCGTCCCCGTCCCGCCTGCGCCCGCTTTCCGCGCCCTCCACGTGCTTCTGCTTCTCCCTGCGCTTGCGGTGAGCGCTGACGTCAGCGTCACCGCCAGCGCCGCCGCCGCCGCCAGCCGTGGAGTCGCTGCCGCCGGAAGCCAGGCGCGCCGCCAATCGTCGCGCCATTTCTCGCCATGCCTTCATCTTGTCCTCCGACACCACCGAGGCGTCTTCTTTGGCATCTCCTCCCGTAGACGTCTCGCTCGTCGTCGCATCGCCGCGCTCGGCGGATCTCCCGATCGGCGTTACCTGCGCCGCACCCGCGGGCACGGCCTCTCCACCCCCGCCGTCGCCGTTCCGAGACGGCAAAGGAGTCTCCCCCAATCCTGGGCTCGGCTTCGCTCGGTCGGATTTGCTGGAACCTTTGAGGCCAACGCCGTTTGTCGCGTCCGCATCGATGACACGGTCTCGGGGAGGGGGCGCCGCCTCGCGAGGGGTCGATCGCCGGGGAGCGGCAGAGGCTGACGAGGAGGAGCCTGGAGGACGCCGCTGGGTGGAGCGGTGCGGTTTGCCTGGTCTGGGCACGGCGTTGTGCGGGCCGTGACGCTCGCCGGAGGAAGCGTGCGGCGGGCGATGCGGTTTGATCGGGACTCGCACGTCCGAGCCGGTGCCTGCGGCGCAGAAACGGAACAGAAAGTCGCGGCGCCAGCTTGGCTGCCCACAGCACGCGCAGCGACGTGCTCAGCGCGCCGGGTCGGTGGCGCGTTGGGCGCGTGACCCAATTTGTTTTTGTTATTTTTGCAACTGTGAGTAACGTTTCATTTCAACTTGTGATAACGGGCATGGCGACTTTGCCGCACGACTTAAGTTCACATCGCTGTGACCTCTGGTGGCGCAGAGGTCACAGCGCTAAGCTGTGGTTTTCACACCTGATGATGATTGCTTGTGTTGCAGTCGAAACGTCGTGAGAATTTTATTGTTTTATACCTTTATTATTTTATTGTTTCCCTTCTACGTGACTTTACCGAAAGAACCAAGAATAGGAATCCCTGCAGTCACGAAAGCTTTAAATCGAAACTTAAGCTGGTACCGTTGAGAGCCTGGGTTTTAAATCCAGGCAACTGCCTCGTGATTAAACTGGGTTATCAAGTGTAGTGAGTTAATGATGGTTTCATCCTGGTTACCAATGACTGCGCTTAGTTAAATTCCTGTTCAAATTAAAAATACATCGGGTTTACTGTCAAACAATGAATGTTATTCTGTAGCAACAGGGCAGGTGTGAAAGTTCTGCCCCCACTGAGGATCAGAGATCATACTCTTTGGTCTTTTCGGTAAAGTCACGTAGGTAAAATAAAATAAATGAGAACAACTAAATTAAATCACGACGTTTCAGAAGCAACACAAGCTTCCGTCTTCAGGTGGAAACCGTCGCAGCAAAATTGCTGTCTCAATTTTGCTTCAAATCTAGAATCAGAGATCACTTGAAGAGAACTTGGAGGTAGCGCTGTGATATTTGTTTCTGCAGACCGTTACATGAGGGGTGGCACTGTTCTTCGAGAACGACGTGACATTGAATTACAACTGGGAAATACAAACAAAACACACAATTAATTATAATTAACGAATTGAATCACGATCGCAAAAATCATCACGATGCACTTGATCCCGAGGGAAGCGTCACGCAGCCTAATCACCGCCTCTTTCCAAACGCGGAATGACGATCACATTTGCTCATGCGGGCGATGACAACAACCCATCGTTAAACGACGAGGGCGGCTCTTGTCGTCGTCACGGACACGGACCTGCAAAGAGGGCACTGGTCTCGGTGCCCTGCGACGAGTCGGGGTCGGTGAGAGCGAAGAGCTCGAAGAGGTCATTGGCTTTGAAGAATCGCTGCTGCCTGGGGTCCTTGAGCACGCGGTTCGTCAAGAACTGCTTGAAGATTTGCCTGATGGCCGTCGGGAGCAAAAAAAAAAACACAAAGCGTGCGTGTTGAGCGTGGGGATGTATGTTTGCGTGTGCTTCCCGTGTGCGTGTGACCGAGTGTGTGGTGACAACCATTCCCTCGTGCGCTATCCCAGCCTTAATGGGTGCTCGTTAAGAGCACTTGACCCAGCAGTCTGTTGTAGGCTATGCAGGCGAGACCTTTGTCTTGTTTGCGTATGCTCATGTGTATTTTTTGCCTTTGTATATGCTTTTGCATGTTCTCTGCACTCACACATATTGTGCATGTCAACAATTGCATTATCATAATACAATCCTCCATAGATTAAACAGTCCACTTGCTGTCCTGGAATCTCCTGATCATATTTCAGCCCGGCAAGTTCAGCAGTTTACAAGTCCATACGTGAGCTACCGACCTTTGCATCCAAAACAACGGATTGCAGGCGTGGGCGACCAACTGAAGGGGACTTGAGCTCACGAACTCGCAAAGATGAGTTCAATACTGGACCGAGTTAGCTCCCAGGAAATGACCACTGACTGCTATAGCGGCTGAACCTGTGGTAGATCTTTTCCTCGATGGTGCCAGCCGACACGAGGCGGTAGATGGTGACCTGGCGCAACTGTCCGATGCGCCAGGCTCTCTCGCGGGCCTGCAGATAAACAGCAAAGACAAATAACCCCCCTATAGCCTGAACAGACTTTTTGGGCAAGTGCTGTTAGCGAGCACCTATGAAAGCCGGCACGGCACACAAAGGGGGTGGCCGGCCAGCACCACGCCCGGCCGCCTTTGTCTCCCCGAGGTGGGCATGTTTACACATCGCACCAGGTGCTCATTTGAGGCTGGGTCGACCTAGGGGGAGGCCCAGGACCGGTTCAGATAATCGTCACCGGTGTCGGTAGCGAGCGGAAATCAAACTCGGTCCGCCGAGTTTGTCGCGCGGTGCGCTAACCGTTGCACCACCGCTCCCAACTATACGTAAACAACACCAACAACAACCGCCATTCGCCACTAAGTGGCGGTGACGTCACCACAATGTGCACCTTGAGGCACGTAAACAACACACGCGCACACACACAAAGACAAACCCCCATATAGACCGATGGGATATTGCTGCCCACCAGCACCCAAGTGCAGATGTTTACACACATTACGATTGTGCTCATCTTAGGCTTCGTCAACTCAGAGGTGAAGCTACTCGCCAACTATGTTACCCATGGATGGGAATTTAACTTAGGTCAACAGGTTTCAGACCGAGGGGGGTCAGCAGAGGAGAAAAAAACCAACCTCCTCTAACACCTACGGTCTCATCTCGGCACCTTCCTGCAGCAGATACACCCTATACAGTATTGGTAATATAATGGAGAAGCATGGGATATATTAAAACGGCAGTAGTTTTAAATTGCGGTTGTTTACCCAGGAAAGCCACGATAACTCTTTTTTTGAAGTAGGGTAAAAAAGCAGGCGATGGGTGCTGCGTAGATTCCAATCGAATTCTTTGCGGGGGGGATTCTTTAAAATGTGGACGATTTTCAATTCATGACGCCGGGAAACACAACGGCCCTCCCTCTTGAGAATTTTAACGTTCCACTGTGAGGCACATGGCACACACGGTGATGGTTATTACACGGCCAGAGTAGTAATCGGAGAGGCCGCTGAATTCCGAAACGTGAACCTCCCCACACCATGATAATAGGTTTTTTCCCCTTTTTTCTGGCACCAAAACAGGTGTTAAGATTTTGACTTAAAGCTTTCGTGGCTGCAGGGATTAATATTCTCGGTTCTTTTGGTAAAGTCACGTAGAAGGGAAACAACAAAATAATAAAAAATATAAAACAATAAAAATTATCACGACGTTTCGACTGCAACACAAGCAATCTTCATCAGGTGTGAAAACCACAGCAAGAAAATTTGAAAAAACTGGCAGTTATTTTTAACGTTAGCACCACGGAGGGCGATTTTGGCAGTTCATCAGATAGACGAGCCCATCTATGTTCAGAAAAGAAGAGGGGGGAGACGAAGATAATGGATGCGGTCTGAAAGTCACCGTAAGCGTGAACACAATCAATTAAAACCCAAAATGGTTTATCAAATCCTTCCAATGATTGCTAAGCCAGAATCCATCTTCTCTGTTGAAATTGTATCCGTGTTTGTATATGTGGATAGCCTCATGAACAAATCTCTCATGGTAGCGAGATGGCTTGCAGATAACCTCTGTCTTAGAAAAGTCAATGTCATGTGAGACTACTGAATTAAAACAGTGATCTGCCACGGCTGAGGTGTTGGTCCTTCCGTGTTTTAGGTCTGCTTTGTGTTCACGGATACGGTCCGATACATGTCGTTTGGTTTCTCCAATGTAACTACTACCACAGAGGCAACTGAAACCTTTTACAAGGAATCATGTCTGCATTAACCACAATGCTTGTGGTCAGAATGCAAACAAAAAACACTGATAATATATGCATTGTCCTTGAAACTGATTGGTCCACACCAAAGACAGCTTTCTTTTGAGCCTCATCTCAAACGGTGTGAGACCAGAGGACACCTTTTGGTGTCCTCTGGTCTAACACCCACACAAGTAGTATAATTAATATACAAGTTTAAGTGTGAATATAATCTTACATGATCTTACAAAATTTTAAGTTTGTTTGATTTTAAACCTGTAATTGTGGAATGCTTTTATCTCGTCTGCCCGCCAATTTGCCCCTTGTGAACGAGCTTCTTAGCTCAATGGGCTTTACTCGGGAAGTAAACTTTCGAATCCGATCAAGGAGCAGCGTGGGTAAAGAGTGGATGGGGGCGGGGTTGTGGTGACGAGGGAGCGCGCGCACCTGAGTGTCGGTGCTCGGATTCCAGTCGGGGTCGAAGATGATGACACGGTTCGCTCCCGTCAGGTTCACGCCGATGCCCCCGACGTGCGTCGTCAGCAGGAACATGAACATGGACTCGTCCTACAAGATTCAATGAAACAGAACTTTGTTTTAGAAATTATTCAATCTTTTATACACCAGCATAGGAGGCGGCAATCAACGTGGCTGGTTTTCTTTCGGGAATAAGGACTTTATTGTAACGCAACTCCGTCTTAAAATTGCGATCGTAAGGGATCATCTTACCAGAGTTAATGTCCCTCGCTCCCCATTAGGCAAAAGACAGATAAAGTTAATGCATAAACGCATTAGAACCTGAGAAAACGTTCAAACCCCGTGAAACAAAAGGAACACACATGTACACACATACACGCGTGAGCCAGAAAACGCAAACATGAAGCAAATCGCAAAAGCCCAAGCATGGTCCCGAGGCCCAAACGCGGGCTTGAGCGTCAAACGCGGGGGGGGGCATGATGCTTCGACGGAAGGCTGGAAGGCGCGACGGTGACGGGACCTTGTTGAACTTGTCGATGAGCGGCTGGCGAGTGGCGATGCTCGTGGTGCCATCCATTTTCATGTAGGAGTAGCCCTCGCCCTGCACAAACTTCTCCAGTATGTCCAGCATCTGTCAGTCCGGGACGGTGACAACAGTCATCGTTTCACGACGTGTACAAGTATGTATGTATGTATGTTGAACTCCTTTCGCGCCGTACGTAGCCAACCGTGATAATCGGAGGTGCGAGGGGAAGAACTAAACACAAAACGCAGTTCTGCATGTATGGAGAACTTGACACACAAATGGCACAATCTACATGGCGCAAGCTAAGTTATTAACCTACAACTGATACAAAAGAATTTGTAACCTGGGGGTTCCAAATATCATAGAGTATTCTGACACTTGGGTGCAAAAATGCTACTGGGATCTCACACCGGCTCCAAACCGGCCCACGGTGACGCCGCCGGTACCTGGCGACTCTGCGTGAAGAGCAGCACGCGGTGGCCCTGCCGGCGCCACATCCGCAGCAGAGCCTCCACCACGAGCAGCTTCCCCGAGCGGCGCCAGTAGCCGAATCCAGCGCCGCACGTGGCGGCGGCGGCGGCAGAGGAGGTGGGGTCCGCACCTCCTCCGCCGACGCTGGCGATGGTCGCGACGGAGGGCGCCAGCTCGTCGTCCTCCGCGTTCAGGCCGCCTGTCAGCAGGTCCGGATGGTTGCAGATCTTTCGCAGCGTTATGAGCGCCGTGAAGACCTGGAGAGGGATGGAGAGGTCAGTGGGGGTCGACGCTCGTGGAAGGCTTTAACGGGTACGCGCGTAGGTATGCACGCACCCACATGCCACGTGTGTGATGATTCGCACACCGAATCCTGGGCGATTTGATGAATTGTGATCATTCGATATATGGGCGGTGTGGCGTGGCGAGGGAACCGCTTTACTCAAGTGTAGTATGGTGCGGTGCAGTGCGGTGCAGAGCGCCACACCTGTCTCTCCCTGTTAAGGACCTGCTGGACTTCGCGCGAGTCTAGGAATTTCTGGTAAACGGCGCGCTGCTCGTCCGTCAGCCGGCAGAATAAAACCTGCAAAACAACAGCAGTGTCTTTTACAGTAATGTTGCTGTGCTAGTTACACCTGATGACGGAAACTTGTGTTGCCTCCGAAACGTCGTGATTTGATTAGTTTTCTTTTTTATATTTAATTTTTTACCTACGTGACTTTACCGAAAGAACCAAAGAATATGTAACAACAGCAGTGGTGAACAATTATAAAACAGGCTCGCTCATACACACACAGGCTGCTCAAAATACATGTGCGCTCTGCTCTTCGGGCCATTCTACATATAAATACAATTACAAAACAAGGGGAGCATGCCCGAGAGGATGTTCACCACAGAGGTAGTGATGACATCAGCTAAGCATTACACCATTCAGGTTAAAGCTGTTGTGGTATTACATTACAATGGGAATTAGTGAAGGCGCACAGAGGCATTTATGTAGCAGTGGATAATTCATAGCTGTGACCGCTGAAAATTATATTTTAAGAGAGCCTTCACCTGCTCGTTCTTATCAGGAAGAGCCAAGTTGACTTTCACGTCGGCCTTCATACGGCGGAGGAGGAAGGGCTTGATGGTGTCTCTCAGCACACAGGCACACTTGTACGCTGTCTGCACCTGACGGGCGGACACAGAAAACTCTCACCGTAAATCGCGACTGTCACGAACACCGACAATGTGAGAGCAATAATAATACATGGGTAGAATCACAACAATAACAACAATTTACAGCACTTTCGTCATTCCACTCCTGCCACTGTGTGCACCAGCCCCATCAACGCCCAGTGCTGAGCTGTGGTTGGTGCAGATGAATGCCACCGTCTGCCCCACAGTCTGCCAGGTTGGTGGGGGGGTGTAGAAGGGGTCAAGCGGGTGGGTGATAATTTCCCCTGACACCCCCCTCCCCTACAAGGTGGTGAGGAAGCTTCTCCCTACCAAACATAACTTTCAAACAAGTTTGTTCTGCAGTTTAGACGCACAAACACCTCCGTCGCTTTTGTCACTGCAGGAGGCCCTTGCCGAGTGACAGAAGTGACGGAACGTTTGTTGCCGGGTGGAATATATTCCCGTCCAGTACCCGATTGGTGCAGATAAGAAGCATGCAGCGAAGGACACGAATCATCTGCGGGCCGTTTCCAAGAGGTAAACCTCGCGTGGCCACGGGTCCTATGTCAAGTGAAGTCACAGAGCATATGTGGCCCACGGGCCGTAGGTTCCGTACCTCTGGCCTACGTCGACGAAGGTGGGACAAGAGCGGACAATTGTCGATACGCACGCCTTTGGGAGAGGGGCAGGGGAGGTGCGTGACCCGGGGCGCGTGGGACGAACCTGCACGTCGGAGGCGTTGGAGTAGCCGCCCTGCGTGATGGGCACCGAGAACTGCTCCATGAACACGGGCAGCGTGCCCAGCTTCCCCGGGAAGACAAAGTCGAAGAGCGACCACAGCTCCTTCAGGTTGTTCTGCACCGGGGAGCCCGACAGGATGATGCGGTGCGGCGTGCGGAACTGCGCAAGAAATAACGCAACATTTTTTTTTCAATCGATCATCGGGTGTGTTGGACGCGTGGGTTATTTCCCCCATACTTGACCACGTTGGTCAGTGCGGGTTGGTGAATTAGGGCCCCGGACCAGTTCAGATTTCACTCGCCACCGAGTTTTTCCACGGCCTGGAATCAAACTCACACCGCCGGTTTCTTCGTGCAGTTTGCGGACCCCTGCACTGCCCAACTAAGCATAAAACAATTCTCCCTCCCAGCGTTGCGGCGAAATATCACAAATCTGGATCGCAAGTCAATAAAAACGCGATTCTTTCTTTTCTGGTTTTCATCATCTCACTTTTGTTCCTTCTACATTTTCGTCGTCGCCTTGTCTGTGTGAGCGGGGCGGCCCGACAACGGGGGGTGGGGGGGGCGGTAAACCCCCACCTGTTTGCACGCGACGGTGACGGCGGCGGCCGGGTTGCGGATCTTGTGGCCCTCGTCGAGGATGACGTAGTGCCACGGGTGAGCGCCCAGCGTGTCCTGCATGAGCCGCACGCACGAGTACGACGTGACGAGGACTCCGCCGCGACTCGCAAGGTCGTCCACCAGACGCTCCTGTCGCAAACACGTCACCGGGGACACGCGTCAAGGCTCGGAGACAGCGGCGGAGCGTGTATGGTGCGGGGGCCCAGAGAAAATAATTCAATCTCTCGTCTTCTTGTCGTATGGCTAATGTGGATGCAGAGCAACGGCTACAAATTCTCATTTAGGTGGTCAGGCCAGCTAACCGCGTCAGGAGCAGAGCAGTGTATCGCCGTGATTTCTTCTCCGTATTTGTGGTTCGGGCATTGCGTCATTAAGTTGTTGCATTGTCTGTTATAAACGACCACAAACGCACACTGGAGAGAATACTTAAACGGAGCCCCCTAATCAACACCAACCCCACCCCCCGTCATAGCCTGGTGCCTGGTCCCCCTCGGGCCGGTGGACCAGACGCAGTTATTTCATTGGCACTCAACGAACAATCTTTACAGGGCACAGAGAACGCTTCGGAACTAGTTACGTATCGACATCTCCTGGGGTCTGTACGTGACACAATGAACTTGCGAAAGCAACTTTCTTTGCGGTCTGCCAAGTCAGTCAAGTCAATATAAACCAAGACGAACAAAAACGCCATCGCCACCGAGAAGTGGCGACACCCACCGCGGCGACGATCGTGTCAACGTTCGACACGAGGTCGCCCACCGTAATTCAAGTGCAGATTCTAAGAGCTCGGTGGGCAACTGCGGTCACTCACATGAAACGTGATGAGTGACGGCGCTGGTGAAATGACACTAACAAACCGGCAAAAAATGTACACAGGCTCTCGTAGGCACACGCGCATGTACGCACGTGCCAACTGTTATACGCGTAAAACTAATCTCATTCTGCCCACTGGAAATATTTTGTTATCTGCATTTCTGCACGGGTGCCAAAAAAAACCCACTTGCGTTTAATGTCATACTTAAGGATCATTACCGGAGTTTATTTTTTTACGTATGTTTAATTACAGGAACTAATTTGCGCTCATTCTGCAGGTTGTTAAAACAAAACACGATAACTCTGTGCATATAATAAAATCCACATTCAAATGCAATTTTTTTATATCCACCCCCCCTCAACCCCCACCGCGTAAGTCATTTAACGATGGATTGATACAACAAATGCGGCGGTAATCCTTGTTCTTGTTTATCTACAAACTGCAGGGTCAATGGCGAGTGGCCGTTCGTTTCGCCGCGGAAGACCGACGGAGTTCGTTAAGCCGTGGCGGCGCTCCGCATGCTAGGGCTAATTCGACCGCACCGCTAACCCGTCAGATAACGGGCATCAATTCCCGACCAAAATTCATTTCTCCCCCGGCAAAATTAGATTCTCCTTAAAAGTAGGAAAAATAATAACGACGACGATAATAATAATAATAATGGCAATCTAACCACATTTACATGCCTTCCCATTGTCGGGCACAGGAAAAGTCTTGCAGCTTATCCTCCAAACGCGGCTTAGCCCGCACTCATTTATAAACTGACGAATGTCATTATTTCCGCTAATAGGGCTTCCAATAAGCCAGCACCTCTGCCCAAAGAATTAATTTTTGTTCCTGCCCGAGCAGATTATTGAGCCATTGTAAAAACAGGATGCAGCCTCAAAATAGGGGGGTGGGGAGCGAGGGGGCGGGGGTTATTTAAATAACCTAATAATCTTGGCCGAGTGCCGTTTCCTCCGCACTTGCAGCGGCCGCTCGAAGTTTAACGAGGCCCACGGAGCCCTCGCCCACAATGGGAGCCCCTAATTTGGAATGCGTTTTTACATCCCCGCTCACGTGAGCAGTGCGACGTGGACAAGTCCATTTAGAGCGGAACACAATGGCGATGATTAGCATTCGCGTGAATTGGAGGCAGCGAAATGTTGTCTGCGAGGCTTGGTAAACAAAATAAAAAAAATTGCCAACGCGTAGCGCATTAATTTCATGCGCTACGCGTGCTGCCATTTTGTCATCGCACTGCTGGATGAAAGTCTCCCTGCATGCCGTGGGGATGTTTGACCATACTTCACCTCGCCGGTCAGTGAGTGAGTGTTGGTGAAGGTGGGAAACACGGACGTGGAAGCGGAAAAGTGCAGTACAGCATCGTTTTTTTGCTGTACTGCCCTTGTATTCACAACGCAACTCAACCACCAAACATAATATACATATTATGCATGATGGCTGCGACCCCGTCTGACGCGCGTAACACCGGGGGTGGCCGTTTCCAAAGGGGTGCTCGAGAGTAAGTCGAATAACTAAGGGTGCCACGGTGGCTAGGAGATGTTAACCACCTCACCTGGTAAACAGGAGGTCGCGAGTTCCATCCCAACCCCGACGCCTGCTGTATATTTGGAGTTTGCATGTCTCTCTCCCCGTGGTCGCGTGGATTTTTCTCCGGGTCCTCCGGTTTTCCCCTCCACATTTATAAACATGCGTTTAGAGTATTTGGCTACTATACATTTGCACATGATAAGCCACTTTGTTGGGCTATCATTTGTGGCCGGGTTACTTCTGAAAAAGAGCCACATAGCTCAGTGGGAGCTAACTTGGTAAAATAGTTTAAAAACAAACCACGGAAAAAAAGCAGTCACTCCATCGACTAAAAAAATCGGGCCCTCCTCACCTTCTTCTTCCCAGAATAGGAGCCAGACTCGTGCAGCACGGCCACGCGGAACTGCGGCCACCACGTGTGGAACTCACGCACCCACTGGTGCATCACCGTGGTGGGGCACACCACGAGCGACGGGCCCAGCCCCTCGTACCTACAAGCAGGGGAGGGCAGCGGCAGGGGTACACGTTGGTACGCACTCACGGCATTAAAGAAACGTGAATTGCGCATGACATTTACATTTAATGCAAAATAGTAGACAGTTTGAAATACGCGCCGCACGTTAAGAGCCGTCCAATCTATGCGTGCGTGCATGCTGCTTGGAGTCGTCGTGATTAGCACGCTGCGCTACATTTACGGCCACGGCAGACACCAGCGAGGACTGGTATCATAACGGGTACTGGGACTTGGGAAATCTTAGTCTTTGTGTGTGTATGTGTGTTTGCATGCACGTTTGAACGTATGTGCGTGTGAGAAAATGCTACAGGCTGTCCAGGCTAAACCAAACAAACGCTACAGACTGTGCAGGCTAAACCACGGATCGTTGTCATTGCTCACTGCGCTCTTGAAACCCCACCCCAGGCCCTCTCACCGGTATCCGAGACCCCGGGTTCTCAGTTTGCTGTGGCTGAGCCCGGCCAGGAAGGCGATGATCTGCACCGTTTTGCCGAGTCCCATCTCGTCCCCGAGAATACCGCCCGCCTGCTTCACGTGCAGCTCCCACAGCCACTGCACGCCCGTCTGCTGGTACCTGCGAGAGCACACGGGGCGCGCGTCACTGAGCACCGCTCATGAGGGCCGGGGTCACGTCGGGCCACGTCATGGTCAACGACGTTCAAGCGACCCGCGACCTCGACCATCCAACGCCAGCACCGCTGTCTGTCGCACAGCAGCGGTTGGCGTCGGCAAAGGTTATTGGGATAACAAGGCCTCTCCTAGATACCTTGCAAAGTGCACATGACGATTATCGTGGGCCTGATCGCGTAAGGGTATATCAGTGTCGCCATAACGTGGCAACCCTACCTCCCCCATGGGTGGGGAATCATGCATTCGCCTGATTGGGAAACGCGGTGAAGTCCAATCGTCACTCTCATCAGTGATCATTGCCCCACACGTGCAATCGGTATCTATCTGGCAACCCCAGACGCCATCAATGGGCCTCTCTAAACTGAACAAGCGCAGTTCCAAACATTCATGTTGCTTTTCAAATTCCCTTTGGAACAAGCAGAACAAAAAGAACAGCAAGAAAAACAACAACAACAACAACAAGAATCAAAAGAAGAATGAGAAGCAGTGACCGTACTGTTGACGAGTCTGGAAGCGGGTACACAACACTGGGGAGGGTGGCGTCTCCGCATGGCACTTGGTGGCGACGCTCACTTGTACAGCTTCTGCCAGAGGCTTGCGGGCACCTTGAAGCCGCCCTCAAACTCCACGTCACTCTCCTCAGACTCGGTCGCGGAAAGTCCCTCCTCGAGGCGCTTCTTCTTGGCGAGCAAGCGGCCGCGGTGCCAGCGTCTGCCGAGAGAACGCACCGCGGACCACCGCAGTGACTGCACCGCGTACCATAACGAACGACAAGCCCCACGCGGCAGTTGCTCTCGCCACGTATTCGTCGCGCAAGTCTCTTGTGGCTGTGCTCGCGATCAAAAAAGCGACAGTCGTGACGAATTATACAGCCAAGTAGCGCAGTTGCGAAAGACGCAAAGTGTATGCACAGCCAGGCACGCCACTCAGTTGTTGTCCTCATTCCATTCTAGCGGAGTGTCCTGCCCCAGCCCCTAAGGACATCCGCCGTGGAGATGGAACGACTCGTGTGCAGGATCTGGGTGGATTGCTGTATCACCCCATGTACTAGAGAATGGCCCACGGAAGCAGCTTTTCAGAACCACTTCTGTGGTACCTTCGGGTAACATTTTTGTAATCCACAAACTATGGGGGTCCCTTATCCCAGATGCCTCACCTACACAGAAATGTTTGTGGCAAGGCAATGGACGATTATGACTTTGACGATTCATTGGGTGATAATGACGGGGGATAATAATGTATGCAACATATTTCATAGATAAATACTGAAGATGCTGATGCAGTGGATGACGGATTGATGCGGAGGAAACGAGCACAAGCCCTGTCCGCCTTACCGTACACGCTGCTTGTACTGTTCTATGTCTCCGTCGTCCGGGTGACGTTGGAAGCGCTTGCCCTGAAGCTTGGGGAACTTCTCGTCGTCGCCATCGTCTCCCTGTGACCCCTGTCCAACTCGACCCTTTTTTCCTCTGGGTCGTCTCACCAACGACAGCGCAGACGTAGTTTATTTTTTTTTGCTCATGATGCATGCATCAAATCACACGTGCAATATTCACAGTTTATGGATGTTGAATGAAAATTCTAAGTTCATGGCACATTCAAGTCAACGTTACGTTCAAGGTAATTGAGAGAAAACTGTACAAATTCCAGCGACATGGCAAAAGCGAGACAAAAATAAATTTATGGACTTCTCGAGTAAAATCTCGACTCCAAATCGCGACTCTGAATCATGACAATTCTATAAACCGCTTGGGGGGAGGGGGGTGATTCGTGATGTGCCAGGTTTTTCATTCTAACATTCACTTATGTGTCAGTGTGCAGCACTGCTGTCATGTCTTCACCTGCTCGTTTTCTTGGCCTTATTTTCAGACTGCAAAGAACCTTCCTCTTCTTCTTCCTCATCGTCATCATCATCGTCATCTTCCCCCGCAGCCAACCAGTCTGGGTCCAACAAAGTGTCCTTGGTTGCAGAGACAGAAGCGTTGCTGTCCGAGTTTTCCCCACTCTCCTCATCACAATCTCCTGCAACCAGACCGACCATTTTCCATTGCTCTTCTGCTAGATCAACGATTCACAAATGTACATATTCACATTGTTTCAGTTACACAGTATTGTTACAAGCCTTTTCCTTGCCGAGGGCTGAGGAGGACTTTCAAGTACCTTTGGTGCGCAACCACGTGTTTATTAACACACATTTTACTGTTCCTTAGCCATTAGTGATAAAGCAAAAAATTATATGCATGCTGACCGAATGTAAAGAGGCCCTTGCAGTGACAAGGTGAATTAGCACACATCTTTTTTAAGATTAGTGCAGCTAAGTAAGATGCTTGTAGTGATGGCTAAGTATAGTTTATGGTCCGTTTCAAAGTGGCAAGGCTCAAGTGGTCATGGGCCACATGATATAAAGCTGCGGGCTGGGCTGTGCATTACCCAAACCTCTATTAAACACACAATATACAAATAAAAAAAGATAATTGTGAACAATTTGATGCTTTTCGATTTGAAGCTTTCGTGACTGCAAAGATTCATCTTCTTTGGTTCTTTCGGTAAAGTCACGTAGAATGAGAATAAAATAATAAAATAACACAATAAAATTCTCACGACGTTTCGGCCACAACGCAAGCGGCCGTCTTCAGGTGAAAGGTACAGAACTGTCCCGACAGTTCTGTACAGAACTGTCCCGACAGTTCTGTACCTTGATGCTTGTCAATTTTATGTAAAGAATCGTCGTTAACACTCGGGCCTGCTGCATGTCTCACCTGTGCCGAAGGCACGTGCCGCGCCACCATTCTCCCCGGCCTGGAGCTGTCCCGACATCCGCCTCATCCTCCGCCTGATCCTCCGGCTCCTCCTCTCCTCGTCGTCATCCCCAGACCCATCTCCGCCTTCGGCCTTCCTCTTCACGCCCGGCTCACCGTCGCCAGCCGTCTGTCCGGCCCTCCCGCCGGCACTCTTCCTGCGCGACGGACCCGGGTCGTCGAGCGCTCGCGACGCTTTCCGCCGTCGCTTCCGCGCCTCCGCGACGCGGCTCTTCCTCGTCTCCCGCAACCGGTCCTGCTCCGCCATGTAGGCCTCGAAGCCCGACATGGCGTCGCCGCTGAGCGCCAGCCTGCGCGGTTTGTCCGGCGGCGGTGGGGGTGCAGCTGCCGATGACGTCACGGCGCCACCGTCGTTGTTCGCCGCAGAGACGCGTGTGCCGAAGGGGGTCATCTGCCCCGTGCGCACCAGCATGTCCCACTCGCTCTCCTGCGCTGGCATCAAGTGGCTGCCCAGGGATAATGGTGCCGAGGGTTCGTCTGTGCACGGGAGTGGGTGGACTGTTAAAGAGCGTTGGCGTTCGTTGGCGGTTTACAGGCAGCTTGCGGTGGTGAGAAACTTTTTTGCGTGTAATATATGCGTCGATGAAACTAACATGACACGAGGCAAGGATCAGTGTAAGGAGATGGTATTTATTTAATGCACGTATATTTTTACCACTGAAAGATATCACTGTTGAAGAAAAACTAGACACGATAAGAGTTGAATTAACAAAAGTTTGCTTGGGAAGGACACGTAACCAACAGGCCAGTGAATTTCACTGTCATTCAAATAGCAACCATAGGGGATAAAAATACCGAAAAAGATGACCAATGTGGAAATGAAGATTAAAAAAAAAATACGTGATATGTGGAACACTCTTAAAATTGAACATTGACCCAAGGCACAAGATACAGGAAGTTTGCGCTACACACCACATCACGTTGTAGTTTAGACACTGGTTGGTAAATATCAGTGTGCTTCATATATATAGTTTTAGGGGGGGAGGGTGGGCAGTGTCCAGAATAATAAATAACTGAGGGGGGGTTCCCATTTAGTTTAAATTTCTTTGCTTTGCGACACAGATCATACCCCGTTCAGTCAGTTGCCTGGCTATTTTACAAGGGAGGTCTGTGGTGCGGGAGCGCAGAGTAAAGAGCCCTTCAGGATTTTACCGCATGTCAGTTGGCCCGTTATCCAGCACAATGGGCGCTAAACATCGGACGGGACGCTGAACGATACGCGACAAAAACCCAAAACTACATCAACGAGTCAAGCGTGAATCATCACTAGGCCTCCTTTGCCAGTACCAAAATATAATAATAGGGTTTTTCCCCTTTTTTCTGGCAACAAAACTGAAACCTTTTTACAAGGATTCATGCCTGCATTAACCACTATACCTGCAGTCAAATGCAAACAAAAACACACTATGATAATATATACATTGTCCTTGAAACTGATTGGTCCACACCAAGGGACGGCTTTTTGGTCCACACCAAGGGACGGCTTTTTGGTCCACACCAAGGGACGGAAATTGGTGCTCGACCAGAGGACGCCAAAAGGCGTACAGCTGACTCCTAACTTGACCCCAGCTGTACGCCTTTTGGCGTCCTCTGGTCGAGCACCAATTGGGTCGAGGCTCAAAAGAAAGCCGTCCCTTGGTGTGGACCAATCAGTTTCAAGGACAATGTATATATTATCATAGTGTGTTTTTTGTTTGCATTTGACTGCAGGTATTGTGGTTAATCCAGGCATGAATCCTTGTAAAAAGGTTTCAGTTTTGTTGCCAGAAAAAAGGGGAAAAGCCCTATTATTAAGCGTGAATCAATCGCCCACTATAAAAATACGAACCTTCTTCGACCTCCTCCATTCCAAGCTCGGCCTCCAATTGCCGAACGACGTCACTGCCCAGCATGGCCTGGAGCTTCTTCTGCTTGGCATTCAGCTTCTTTATTTGGTTCTCCTGTGAAGAACACCTCATCTCAACAAGTAGCTCCGCGCTGGCACGAGCGAAGCCAGGGGAAGGAACATTTCTATCCGTTGAGATTGTGGGAGGCCGGTATGGAGTGTGGTGTTGTATGCGGCAACAAACGTTGACTTGGGCGTCCAACAGTGAATATCAGTTGGATGTAGCAAGACAAATTAGGAAGTTCGAGAGCAAGTTCAGAAGTCAAATTTAAACGATGCAGAAAAGGGGTAAAAGATGTAGAGTGCGCACATTCCCAGGGTGAACGAAGAAAGTTCTGAAGGTCAGGAAGTATGTTGGGAAAGAGGCCAAGACACAGAAAAAAAAAGCTGCTGCTTGATGACTTAAAGACCTGAAGAAAAGGGGTACGTGCAGCTAAATGATGAAGCTGAAGATCAGACATGAAGGTCGTTTAAGTTAAGGACCCACCATTGGGTAAGACTTAAAGAGAGAGCTGAGCTTTGGTAAGGAGTCACGACCTGACGCAGACGGTGCCCTGACCTTGTTTTCCTTCTGCCGTTTGATCGAGTCGAGACGGCGCGTCAAGTCTTTGCTGGCATCACCAGGAAAGCGAGGTTTCACTCGCGCCATCGCCTGGTCGATTTGCTTCAACGTGGTACAGCACGACCTTTAGGGGAAAAAAAAAACACGCAGCAACGCTACTACTGACAGCCCAAACTATTAGGGGAAGGTGATGGATTGCACTTTGAAGCAGCCACAAATTGGGCAACTGTTAAATTGCCCACTTACGCAGACGACAGCCGCACTTCTTACGCCTGGTGCCAGTGGACTGACCTCAGGTCATCGAGCACGGACTTGTATTCGTTGAGGGCGAGCGCCTCCTGCGCTCTCCTCTCGGCGTGCAGCTGCTGGTCCACCTGCTCCAGGACGGCGGCCTCGAGCGCGCGCTGCTCGTAGACGCTCACCCCCAGCTCCTGCAGCTCGCTCGGCTGAGACTGCACGGCCAGCTTGGGAATGAGCTGCCGGTCGATGTGGATTCCGCGGCTCCGAGCTCCGCCGCTCTTGGGCCTCGTTGACGACTCCTCGGCCGCCGCCTCCGCTGCTGCTGCCGCCGCCGCCACTGCCAAGGCCATGTCATCGGATGGCAGGGGTTCTACCGTAGGGTTCTGGGGTGGGTCTTTAAATGAGGCACCATCGTCTGAAGGGACGGGTTGCCCATCGATGTGAATGCCCCGGCTGCAAATTCCACCGCTCTTAGGCCTCGTCGACGACTCCTCGGCCGCCTCCACTGCCACCGCCAAACCCATTGTATCCGACGGCCAGAATTCTACCGAAGGATCCCCGTGCGGACCTTCGGACGAAACACCATCATCCCATGGCCCGCACGGGAGATGCCAATCGCCGGCCAGGGCGGTGCGGTGTCGTGATGCCGCAGATGGGGCCAAGTTTGGAGCGGACGTGGAAACCGTGGGGTACGGGGTCGAGAGACGGCGGTGGAACCCGTCCGAGAAGAAACGCTCATTGTTTCCATCATCACCAAACTTGGCCACCAGAGCCGAGAGGCCACCGGGAAAAGCGGTGGCGTCGGTGCAGAGCGAGTCTGTCGGCAGCGGGGCGCCATGGCTGACGGGGCTGGAGTTACGCACGGAGCTCTCGACGGAACACGGCTCCGCAGGGGGTGACGAGCAGGATTCGCTGTCCTGTGGGGATTCTACGTCATCGGTTGGACTCTGGGACGAAGGTTCCAGCATTCTCTTGTCCTAATCGGATGCAGCAATTACTGGGGATGATGGGACCGGGACACCATCATCACCTGACCACGCACAAGACAAAGAGCGAGAATGTAGCATATTAACCGACAGCGCACTGAATGCAATTACAGTCGTAGTAATTATTACTTAATACAAAGTCTAAATTCAACAATAAGCGAAACATGCTGCACAGCCATGCGACATAAGTTATAGAACATTAAAAAAGAATGGTTATAAAGTGTTTTGACATGGTTGAAATACTTATGAAACACAAATATTTCCAAACATTTTTACATTGACGAACGACGCGCTAATACCGTGAGGATGCGTGGTTTTTTCACAGTGTACTTTGGTTTCTGCAACGTTGCAAACGCTCAACAATGGGTAATGACCAAACATCCGAATGCAGGATGCTAATGAAAATTAGTTGTGAGACTCACTGAGAGCCTTGTTAGACAAAATGTTATTTGGTGGAAAACGTGGTTTATAAGGAGCACTTATTTTTTAATAAACATAATTAAGTCCTCACTGTTTTTTCTTCTTCAAATAAGTATGCAGTATATAGTGTACACTATAGTTACAGTATAGTTAAACACGTAGGCATTCACGACCAATATTATTCATAATAAAGGTGTTTGGGTTAGATCGTGTAAGTATAAATGTGTCGTAACCCTGCACCGACCGGCCACGGCCAGCAAGGTTTGTCACGTAAACAAAACGCGCCAATTAGTTACTGCTTCAGCCCACCGGTGGGGAGAGTAAATACACGTTTACAATTTTATAGTATACTTAGAACATCAGGGAGTTAGCATTCATATTCAATATCTGCTCCAGTAAGTCTACGATCTACTTGCTGTACTTGCCTCAACGTCTACCCTCGTGGTCCCCGTTAAGAGGGTGTGTCACAAAATCTCTGCGTGATCCACCAACCCCCCCCGCTCCCCCCCCCCCCCCGCGTATTTGGCGTGACAGAGAGGGCCACCACCAAGTCCCAATATTCTAAGTTACACCGCCCTGTACATGAAAAAGTTATGAAAGGCGCAACTGCATAGGGGGCCGTCCATAAATGACGTCACGCACCTGGGGGGGGGGGTCTGACATTTGTGACGATGTGTGACGAGGGGGGGGGGATTTGAGAAATGTGACGTCACATCAAAATGCGCAACTTTAAATAAATACGAATGAAATAAAAATGTACATAACACTATTTTTTTATGATTTTCATTAACTATTTGATTATTTAAATTTACTAAGGTCACCTTTTATTTATTCCATGAAGGAGCATTTTGCTTCTCCATGGGAGGCATTTTGATTCTAATGATTCTACCAGGGCTTTTCATTCTGTGCAATCAATGATTGTTATAATTGTACTCTCCTTTTTGTTTCGTTCTACTAAAGTTTCAAGTATTTTTATAGTTATAATTACTTTTAATATTTTATAATTATAAGAGAATTTCAATGTAATATTCTGAACATCTGCAGTTTTAAATAGACGTTGAATATTTTCAAGTGATTTTTACAACATCGGAGTGCAGCGCCACATTAAATACGCACTACAATGACAATAGTTTAAAGCGATTTGAAGCATGTTTTATTTTCAAAATGGAAATATGGTTTTGGGGGCGGGGGGGGCAGAGCTTTGTGACGTCATATTTGAGGGGGGGTTCTGACTTTTTGTGACGCCGCGTGACGAAAAAAATCGGCCAAAATAGCGTGACGTCATTTATGGACGGCCCCTAACGCTGCTAAGTGGCAGGGTGTCCATTACGTTGTGTGTGACCGTATGAACATCTTATTTGGAGACAGTCCGCTGCAACCGAAGCGAGCGCACGCACCGTGCGATCTGACTCGCTCGCTTCAATGCAATCGATGCAATCGATAGGCTTCGACACAGCGGGGTTAGCGAGAGCTTGGGGGCGGCGGCTGCTCGCCCACCGCACCGAGAGTAGTGCCGCACCGAGAGTAGTGCCGGACCGTCCTCGTGGCACAAGTAGCTACACACGCCACGGACTCCGCACTTTCAAAGGGCCCCCCCCCCCCACCGCGCTAAACGCTTTCAGGCTATCAATTCCTCTTTATTATTTTATTCTCATTCTACGTGGTGGTGACTTTACCGAAAGAACCAAAGAAGATGAATCCTTGCGGTCACGAAAGCTTTAAATCGAAATCTATCAATTCCTGTTCAGTGAATTCTGCACTCGCTCTATTACTACAGCACTATACCGCCTTCTACTTTTACGAACGACTGGGTGTTTAAGGTTAGCGATTTGTCTTATTATCTTGGCTGTATAGAAAATGGAAGAAAAAAAATACAATTACTTTACTACCTCGCCCTGGTGTACAGGATGGGTCTGGGTTCGATCCCGAACTCTGTGGGTCTCTTCTCTCTCGACATTTAAGAATCAACGTAAAGGCGTTTAGAGTAAAAATCGGCTGCTGTACATTTCCACACGACCAGACACTTGGTTGGGCTATCATTTGCGCCCAGGTCGCTTCTGCAAAGGAAGCTTTAATAGGCCCAGTGGAGCTCAGCTGGTAAAGCACAGCATAGGTTAGCTTTAAAGGGGCTGTAAACGACAACAGTTACACAATGGGCATTTAATTATCCCACGCAAGGCAGCAGCACCCAGCACAGAACCTCACAAAGCGGAATAATTCACCTCCGGCTGCTGTAACCACTCAGCGACAGCGACCTACCACCACCAACTCGGCCAACCTGCTGACCGTTCGATCGTGAATCGTGTGAATGTAGTCGATAATAACAATACTAGGGAGATAACACGACGAGTTTAGTAACCACTGCAGTAATTACAATACAAAAGCACGTTGGGGGCAAGCGCTGTTCGCGAGCAGCGCCTATAAAGGCCGGCACAGTGGCACGCGAGGGGGTGGGTGGCCAGCACCACGCCCGGCCGCCTTTGTCTCCCCAGTGGCGATGTTTACTACAACACCGCACCGGATACTCATTGGAGACGCCCAGGATCGATTCAGATGCTCGTCGGCGACGTTTGGTGTCTGTGAGCGGGACGCGAACTCGGCTGGGCCAGCAGGTTCGTAGCGCGGCGCGCGAGCCGCGAACCCAACACTCCCCACAGTAACAACAACAACAACACGTGTCGCGCCGCCATACACTCACACTGCCGCACGACTAACACCCCCCCCCTCTTCTTTATAAACCAAGGGTAACGTGACACTGCCCCCAGCTACCTGCCCTGCCCCCCCAACCTCCTTGCCCCCCCCAGCCTCCTTGCCCCCCCAGCCTCCTTGCCCCCCCCAGCCTCCTTGCCCCCCCCCAACCTCCTTGCCCCCCCCAGCCTCCTTGCCCCCCCAACCTCCTTGCCCCCCCAGCCTCCTTGCCCCCCCCCAACCTCCTTGCCCCCCCCCCAACCTCCTGGCCCCCCCCAACCTCCTTGCCCCCCCCAACCTCCTTGCCCCCCCCCCAACCTCCTTGCCCCCCCCAACCTCCTTGCCCCCCCCCAACCTCCTTGCCCCCCCCCAACCTCCTTGCCCCCTCCAACCTCCTTGCCCCCCCCAACCTCCTTGCCCCCCCCAACCTCCTTGCCCCCCCCAACCTCCTTGCCCCCCCCCAACCTCCTTGCCCCCCCCCAACCTCCTTGCCCCCCCCAACCTCCTTGCCCCCCCCCCAACCTCCTTGCCCCACCCAACCTCCTTGCCCCCCCCCAACCTCCTTGCCCCCTCCAACCTCCTTGCCCCCCCCCAACCTCCTTGCCCCCCCCAACCTCCTTGCCCCCCCCAACCTCCTTGCCCCCCCCCAACCTCCTTGCCCCCCCCAACATCCTTGCCCCCCCCAACATCCTTGCCCCCCCCCAACATCCTTGCCCCCCCCCCAGCCCCGTGACCCCCTCAGAGGGACTCACGGATGTCGCCAACTCGCGACCTCGCTCCCGAATCTCTCCCAGTCTCCCCCCCACCCCTCCCCACCGGAACCACGTGACACCGGCTACCGGAAACACGTGTCAACCTTCGCCGCGCCCGCTCCTTGATTGGTCCACCAGCTTGGCCCCACCTTCAACGGCACGTGAAGCGCGCGGCCCTGATCGCTGATTGGTCGAGCGCGTCGGTTGGACAATGCGTGAGCGGAGCGGCGACGCGTCAAGGTGACGTCAGGCGGCCGTGACGTCATGAGCGGGCGGCGCTTCGTATATAAGAAAAAACTCGCGCGTTTCTCAACATCACCGCGTGGTATTAAAGGGACAATACATGCAGGGGCTCCTCTACTTACGAACGAATTAGGTTCCAGAGGTATGTTCGTAAGGGGCCGTCCATAAATAACGTCACGCGATTTTGGACGTTTTTTGACCCCCCCCTTCGTCATACGGCGTTACAAAAAGTCAGACCCCCCCTCAAATATGACGTCACAAAGCTCTGCCCCCCCCCCAAAAAAAAATCATGCTTCAAATCGCTTTAAACTATTGTCATTGTAGTGAGTATTTAATGTGCCGCTGCACTCTTGATGTTGTAGGAGAAAACATTAAAAAAGTATTTTAATTAAGTAGAACATGTCTATATTTAAAATATATATAAAACAATAAAAATTCTCACGACGTTTCGACCATAACACAAACGGTCGTCTTCAGGTGTGTTGGTTTGCATACATTTATTTTTAAACGGTGTATTTATTTATTTATTTAAAAAACGTTAGCGCCACGCGCAGCGATTTGGCAGTTTATTTAGGACTAGTCCATCTATATTCTGAAAAGAGGAGGGGGGAGACGATTTTTTTTATATATATAATGTATGCTGTCTGAAAGCCACTGTAAGCGTGAACAATCAATTAAGACCTGAAATGATTTATCAAATCTTTCCAATGATTGCTAAGATAGAATCCATCTTCTCGGTTGAAATTGTCTCTGTGCTTGTATATGTGGATAGCCTCATGAACGAATCTCTCATGGTAGCCAGATGGCTTACAAATAACCTCTGTCTTGGAAAAGTCAATGACATGTGAGCCTACTGAATAATTGTTTTATATATATTTTATTATTTTGTTGTTTCCCTTCAACGTGACTTTACCGAAAGAACTAAGAATATGAATAACTGCAGTCACGAAAGCTTTAAATCAAAATGTCTATATTTATTTAAAGTTGCGCATTTTGATGTGACGTCACATTTATCAACTCCCCCAACCTCCTTGCCCTCGTCACACATCGCCACAAATGTCTGAACCCCGCCCCCCCCCAGGTGCGTGACGTCATTTATGGACGGCTCCTAATTCGATTTGTTTGTAAGTCCTACTTTAATCCCGTCAATTCCAGACATGTTGTACGGCGTGTACAATATATAGATGTAGATGCACTGGCCGAGCCAGTGGGGGTGGGGTGGCACGTGCCCCCCAATGAACCGATCGAAATCCCTAATTTTGATCGGATCACTGGGGTTTACTAGTAATACATCGATATTTTGCGACCCTCACTGCCACTGTGTAGCATATTATGACGTGCCAGGGACTCTATGAGATGATAGGACAATAGTCTGAGTCCATAATTGGCAATAAGTAACGGCAAAGCAGTTAATTGTAACTCACAGAATTGTGCGCAGTTGCGTATACAGAGTACACGACTTCCCTGAAGGCATCAGCACCTTCAGCGAGCGCGATGCCGATCACGCAACGCGGTTCGAATTCGACCCTCGATCGATGGCTGCGCCATCGCCGCACACGCGTAGAATAAAAAGCAAGGGACAAGTCCTTGCTTACGAATAACTCCTCTATCATTTTTCATTGCTGGAGGGGTTGCCCCCTCTACCCGAAAATCCTGGCTCCGCCATTGTGTAGATGCCACAGGCTCGTCACGTTCTGCATCTACATATATTCTTTACGTTCTGCAAATGTAGATGCCACCACCGCCATCTATTGCGCGGTGGTTGAACTTACGACTCTCGGTCCGAACAGGGAACTGGACGTAGGGACAGGTTTGTTCGTATCTATGAAAGTTCGTAAGTCGAATGTTCGTAAGTAGAGGAGTCTCTGAAGAAGGCGAAGTTTCGGGAAATGGCCCTTCTTGAGAGACATAACTAGAGAGATGGAGTGGATAATACGGTTTGGAGACTGCGGTTTACATCATGGAACCTGATGAGAATTCATTTTTAAATATTTTCCGTGAACCAGTGTTTAACGAGGAATATGAATAGTTACCTTTGAATAGCAGACAAACCTGTCTATAATTATCAAAAACATGTTGCTAAATATTTGTATAACGTAATTTCATAATAGGTTGCTTATACATTGCATTATGAGTAGCATTTTTGTAGCTAATAACACTATGGCCTTAAAGGGAAAAATAACATTAGACGGCGTTTCAGGCAATGGCCCTCACGCAGGAGTTTGTAACTGTCATCTGTGAATATTGCGTGTGGTCTGCTGGACAAATAGGCTAAAGCAAATAAACGCCATTGCACGGAGTGGCGAGGTGTTAACGCCATCGCCTAGTATACAGGAGGTCGTGGATTCAATCCCGACCCTGATGCCTGTGCATTTGGAGTTGCATGTTCTCCCCGTGGTCGCGTGGATTTTCCTGCTGGTTCTTCGGGTTCTCCCTTCACATTTAAAATATGCGTTTGGAGTACTTGGCTGCTATACATTCCCACATGGTAAGCGACTTCATTAGACTATCATTTGTGTCCAGGTCGCTTCTGAAAAAATAAATATATAGCTCAGTGGGCCTTACCTGGTAAAATGAAAAAAAACTGTTTTAGTTAAGAATAGTGTATGCGTTTGGCCTGAACACATCATGGGCGAGACTGGTTATTGAATGGCAGCCAGAGGAGGGAAACGTATTCGAGAAGACGACCAGAGTTGAGTTGGAGAGCTGAAATCACTTCGCGTCCAGTGGCGAGATGGATTTTGCCAGCGCATGTTAACGAGGGATGGCGACCAGTATCGGGAAGCCATTATCAAGACAATGTTACGAAATAAACTTAATTTTTTCTTTTACCATGTAAGGCCCACTGAGCTTCATAGCTTTTTTCAGAAGCGACCTGGCCACAAATGATAGCTATATTAATTGATGATGATACCAGGTGCCTTCATTGCTTATGGATTATTGTAAAGTTGTAAAATATGAAAATGACACATCTATAGGACGATGTTTTGCTGGTATCAAGCTGATGAAAAATGATAGGTAAAGCTTATTTATTTCAGCACGATAATGACAATGATTTTGATGTCTAAGGTGGTGAAAAATGTGATTTTGAAAATTGTTCATTCATATTAACATGATATCATAGCCCACAATTACAGCAGACTGCAACACACACCATTAAGCATGTAATTGATAAGAGGGGACGCAACCCTGAGTTACCCATTCATTCACCAATTCGTTCGCCAATTCATTCATCCATCCATTACATTCCTAAATTCTTCGCACTTAAAGTACTCCACATCCTCCGCCCCCTCCACCCCCACGCCCCCTCCCCTCCCCTCCCTCTCCCCACCCCACAAGCCCAAACCGCCTCTCTCATTTCTCCCGGAGCCGCGCTTTACTGAGCGCTGCTATTACATTAGCCCAGATGCTGGGTCATCAATAATTCACGTTGATTAAGACACATTAATTTTGTTACACGTGCTGGCGCGCGACACTTGGAACCAATTACACGCCGCGAGAAAACGGGGGGGGGGGGGGAATGAGTAAAGGTGGTGGATAGTGGGAAGGAGGCAGCAGGGAGGGTGGGGGGGTTAATTTAAGTCCGGGTCGGCGACCCAGCACACCACATCAATAACAGTTATCGCTATTAGTCAGGTGCCACCTACTCCAGTCTACCAGGGCAAACCAGAACAATTTTAGTGAGAAATTAATAGACACAATATTATAACATCGCGGGATTTAGGGGGGGGGGGAGTAGTTATCGTGTGGGTATACTGGTCCCCGTCACAGGAATGTGGAACTTAACCGGAAGATTTAGTAGTTGGAGCATCGGTAATAAATCATTATCGTAATCACCATTGCGGAGTATCACTTTTAACAGAGATTATTTCGACTGACAAGAAAAGTAAGTGGGCTTGAGCAGGACACGTCGCTATCGAAGTGATGCTGGCCGTTGGTCGAGACGAGTCACGGAGTAGCAGCCAAGGGAGAGAACGCGGCGCTCCCCAAGAGAGCAGACGTGGAGATGGAGTGATGAAATCAGCTCGTGTGTGCAGGTTCCAGATGGATCGTTATATCGGGGGACCAAGAGACGTGGCGAATTTTTGGGGAGGCATTCATCCAGCAGTGGACAGATAATGTGGCTTATGATAATGATGATGGTAAGCCAGCAAGGTCTAGCTATTGGGGACATGACTTTGTGACATTTCTCAGCATCACCCGTTATTACATTATCACGCAAATTGAGTGAAATGTAAAAAAAAAAATGTGCCACATTATATTTTCTAAATGTGCATTATTAAAACAGCATCTGCTGCTCAGTGTAGATGGATGGTTACAACTGCTTCATCGTTTACACGTCCGTGTGTGATGTTGATCGATTTCAAACACAACTTACAGCCCGTTGCATAACCTTCCTGAATAGATTTTCGTTTAGTCATTTTCTCTTTCCCTACTTTTTTCCTGCATTGCGCTGTCGGTGCCACGTCCTGCCCGTGAGATGAAGAGTCCATGCGAAACTCTCGCAGGGGAGTGCATTCGTTGTCTCGTGTTAACGAGAAGGGCCCGCGGAAAACAACATCAGAGAACTACATCTGAGATCCATCCACGTGAACTTATCTGCACTAGGGGGTACCGATGCATGTCCCACCCACCCTGCTTCATAGTCAATCCCATATATATTTTATTTTCAGAGCTGATATTTAGCAGGCACACTTTGCCATCCTTCAACAAAATGCACTGACCAGGGTGGTGAAGTATCGTCAAACGATATCCCTACGACCGCCACGGTGTGCGGAGGTATTCGTCTAGCAGTGGATTGACAAAGGGCTATAAGTTACTACGAATAAAAATACACATTTAATTAA